CTCTTTTCTCAAATATAACTACCAACCTTAATTGAAATTATTTCTTACCTCGTTGCCGTTTTCTTTAACTGTCTTGCATTTTTCTAATCCATGTTTACGCAAAAAGTCACGGAAATAACCGAAAATTATATAAAAGAAGTACGCGAGATAGGTCATCACCGCGGCATGGAAAGGAGTTTCTTCGAACTCATCCCGAGATTCGGCGACATAATTTCCATTTTTTTTGCCGTGGCTAAATAATCCGTTCGATCCAGGAGCACAACCATTTTTTGAGGAGAAATGCTTTCTCGCGTGGCCAGCTCCACTGACCATGTTTGTTGCTCCCGCCAGAGTCACACATAGGGCTAAAAGCGAAGCACTCGACAATATTTATAGTTGTTCAAACAAAATATAAAATCATGTAATGCTAAGCAGCGAAGGCAACGCCGGAGAACGGTGAAAAACAACAATAGGTCTAATTAGCTAAAAAGCAACTTTACACGTGCAGCCCCCTTTTTTTGTACATTTCTTTGCCGCTGTTTTGCACGACTACAACGTGAAACTTACAGAAACTTCTTAGTTACACGTTTTTTTCGTTCACTTTTTATTCACTGCCGCTCAGTTTCACATTGCATTGGTGGCCGCTAGCATCTCTCATTTTGTCACCGCCGTTACACAGTAAATACCCGGCAGTCCGAGAGGCGACTGGAAAGTTAGAAAGCCTGTTATTAAGCCAATGAGTACATACTTGCCTCCATCGATTATTTTTCCAAATCAATGACGAAGATACAGCGCTTTCATTTTGAAACCTCATTTTGCAAGGCCTCACTGACGCTTCTAGCCGCTTCCAGCTAAACATAAACTCTTGACACAGCTTGAGTCTTAGAAAGCAGGCTCCTCTAATTTTACAATTTTTTTACGAATTCCCCTCAAAATATTCTATCCTTGTTTAGAATTGGAAAGTAATGGGAAATCAACGGCGTTTCATAACCGCAAGTAGGTTAGCCGGAATCACTCGCGGTCTCGAGTATTGTGGCTGACTCACGGGCACGGTTTCTTTCCGTCTAAATGCCCTGCAGTCCGATTTGTTGAGGGGATTTTCACAAAAAGTGGCTCGTTAGCTCCAACGAAGGTACTCCATCGACCTTCATAGCAGCCACGCGAGCCCTGAGGGTCCAATTAACGGTTAAACATCTTACCTCCTATGTCTGAGTCTGTTATTCCAGTTAAACCCAACATTCCTTTGCCAGCGGGATGCACAGATTTGGTTGAACCTGACTCCAGATTAGTTGAACGATACCATATTTATGGTGCTTCTCTTTCACAATTCAAGTACTTAATCCTACAAATAAGCCTGTGACTATTTATCGCCGAACCAACGTCGGATTGTTTACTCCTTCAGCATCGTCTATGTCTCCAATTACTACTGATGACCACGCCCAGACACCGCCCCCTCCAACTGCTAACGCTTCTCCAATCCGCCGTACGGAAAAAGATGGCGGCTGTACATTTTACCACAATTCCTTTCGAACCTAACACGGCCAATTACACACATAAAGTCATATTTGGGGGCGGGGGGGGGCGAAATTCATTACTGTAATAGCAATATTGCCTATCCTAGGTTTGAAGTTCATAAAACTTTTCTGTGCGTTTTTATGAGCAATTTTATGGTTTTCATGCGCTAAGAACTGTGGGTAAAAGTACCAGTCGCCATATTTATTTTTAGGTACGGTCAAGAGCCATAATATGATGGCTCTTGGTACGGTGGATTGCTGTAGATCTCTCTTCGACCAATTTAAACCAAGAACAGGAAAGTGCAACTGCAGTCCCTCCTATCTGAGTACAGAGATATTTTTGCATTAACTCCAGAGGAACTTGGACGTACTGGACTGGTGAAGCATCGCATTGATACAGGTGATCACCCACTCCGTGTTGAAGAACATCAACGCGGTATCATAGAAGAAGATATTACAGATATCAGCGGGACAGAAAAATGTCAGAAAATAGCATTTCTGTTTCCAAAACTTTGTTCTTTCATTAACATTAATATAATTAGCAATTAATGAATGAGGCTGGGTAGGATATGAAGAATTATGCAGATCGAGGAGGGCGGATAACACCCTCCGAGATCTGCATAATTATTTTTAGTATATACACTCAGGGATCTTGGTGATTTAAGCAATCTGATTGGTTCACTATCTCAGACTATTCAACACTTATTTACCTCCTAGCGAGTAGATAATGTGTGAGCTCGGTGTTTTTCCCATTTTTTTACAGAACGGTCAACAAAATCCAAGGGTTGACTTTTTTTAAAGCAAGAAAAGACTTGGAAGAATACAAAACGGCGTTTTTTCCATTTACTGTAGCTGAGTTTTGTGCTCGATGGATTGTTTACAACTCCCGTTTTTTCGCGTAGAAGAAGCCGTTTCGTGAACTCAGCGTTTCCTTACAAGAAATTTGGTCCGAAAATCGAAGTTTATTTATGACAAACAAATTTGAAAGCAAATTTTTGCAAAAATTCTACGTTTCAAGTTAATAGGAAAAAGAATGGTACAGGAAGACGACGTCTTACCTCGAGCAACCGAGCCGCCATTTTTGTAGCACTTCATGCGAAGAAACAAACAAACCCTTTTGGCTATAAACTTGGAGAGTCAACAGAAAACAACGAAGCTCTACTTTTCTTCTCAGGTAAGGAAACAATTCATACTTTTAACGGTTCCATTGAAGCCATTACGCTGTTGTTTGCGAAGTGATAAACTTATGAATTGCAATGTTTGAAAATTCTGCAAAGATCTATTTTTAAACTTTCGCGTGATTTGATCGGTCAATCAAATCGTACTTTTCAATGGTTTCCTCTCTGATTTTGTTGAGATCACTTCGTGTGTATTTACTAAAACAATTATTCTTTTCAATCTCGGTGAATAGCGGCTTTAGGAATATGTACCTCGCCGCTTCGCGCCTCGGTAAATATTTAGCCACTATTCACTTCTATTTCAAAGAATAATTGTACATTAGTATATACACACTCAGTGATCTTGGTGATTTAAGTAATCTGATTGGTTCGCTATCTCGGACTATTCAACAATATTCACCTAGCGAGTGGATAATGTGTGAGCCCGGTTTTTTCCCATTTTCTTAGAGAAAGATCTTTTAAAAGTCGACAAAATCCTAGGGTTGACTTTTTTTCAGGCAAGAAAAGACTTCGAAGGATTCAAAACGGCGTTTTTCCATTTACTGTTGTTGAGTTTTGTGGACGATGGATTGTTTACAACTCCCGTTTATTCGCCTAGAAGAGGCCGTTTCGTGAACTCAGCGTTTCCTAACAAGAAAAATTTGGCCCAAAAACGAAGTTTATTTATGACAAACAAATTTGAAAGCAAATGTTTGCAGCAATTCTACGTTTCAAGTAAACACATTCCTAGCTTAACAACAAGCTAAAACATGCTTACCTTCGTCGATGTTAAGTTCACCTCGACAGTGCATGATTAGAAGATAAAGGGCTGTTCAGGTCTGCAAATATACTCCAAATAGCAGATGTTGTCCGTCGAGTTGTCTTCTTGCTATGTTTTTTTAGACAATAGTTCGTCGTGAAACCAGTAAAATGTTCCGCCGACTGTTCGGCCATTTTTCTTTTCACAATCAAAACAACTAAACCTCGTCCCCAGGTCTTCTCGGTTAACGGTGCATTAACCTCCAACTATACTGCACTTTTGACGTCATCGGTTGATAATTAATCGCAAAATTCTTCCAAATTTGGTCAACAGTAGCTGTTTATGGTGAATTATACGTGTGCTTTTAGGCAATCAAAAACGGAGAAATATTTTGAATGAATAATACCACTTAACTGTTAACTTTTCATTTATCCAGTAACTACTAATTTTTTGGCCAATTATCAGTTAACTACTGTTTTTTGGGCCAAATATCAGTTAACTGTTAACCCCATTCGCACCCTCTAAGAATGTTCAATTCCGTCTTTTTTAGTGTAGGTAGCCAGCCAAGTTTAAGGACGTCCTTTCTGAGCAGAAACTATTCAAGTCAAAACCAGCAGCAGCATTCTGAACGCGTTGTTCTCTATTCTGCAGGTATGCAGGAAGTGGATAAGTGACGGAGTCATTAAAGTTAAGTTTGGATAGCACGAGGCTTTGAACAGGAGACTTGTTAGTCTCTTGTGGTGTCATATTCTCGATCTTTCTTAGAGTGGCTAGCACTTTATAGCATGATGATGTGACCTCATTTACATGTTCTGTCCATTTAAGGTCCTCACTAAGCCAAGTTCCTAATAACTTAAATTGCTCTACCCTACCAATTAACTGTCTTTCAGGGTGAGAGGTGGAGTGTATCCGTTAAGATTATACACTTCAGACATCTGCTTGGTGGTAATAACCATCTGCTTACCAATAATAAGTTATGCAAAATAGGTTGCATCCAAGAGGATAAATATTCACTATGCAAAACGGATTCGGAATCCCTTTACCTCATCTTTTTCGAATGCAGGCACACCAAGCAGTTTTGGAAGGAATTTCAATATTACTTTTACACATTGACAAGAGAATTCGTCTGTCTGACCCTACAAAGACTTTATTACCGGAATATTATATACAAATTTTCCTTTGCTAAATTATTTGATACTGATCGCTAAACTATACTTATGGGGTTGTTGAAGAAATCAGACTCTTCCAGTCATAACCGTGACTGCCTTTTCATCCAAGGTTAAAATTAAGTATGAAACAGAAAAGTCTATATGCGTTAAAGCAAATAAACAGGAGAATTTTAATAAGAAGTGGGCTCTGCCTCTGGACTCTGTACCCTAGTAACGTGTATACTTCGAACGTTTTTTTTTTTTTGTATAGTTACTAGTGTTAAAGTTTATTATGTAATGTAATGTGTATTTGTAATGTATTGTAATGCAATATTATGTAAGCCCCGGCCGGTGGTGGGGGAAGCGAAGACTCAGGTACAAGAAACGAGAGGCTCCCCTCCCCGACTCCCGTTGAGTTTTCATAGATGCTGGTCACGTGATTGAAAACGCACTATTCCTTTTAGATACATAAAACGAACTTTTAGTCACTAAACTAAATTCAATACCCAGCTTCGCCCAATTTAAAAACCTAATTGTATTTGAGAACTGTCACGTCAGCTTCATTGATGTGTTATGGGTGTCCTCCGTGAATACTTCACCTTGAGTATGTCACCCACTTCATCGATGGCCTTCAGCGCCTAAAAAACAACCGGTTAATCTTTAGACAACTCAACAAACCAAAAGGACATCACATCTATAGTACACACTCTTAGGCTAAGTCATGCAGACAACTGCAATTACAAATAATTTGTAACAAAGAAGGGGCGTAACTAGGATTTTCCAGATATACGCACAATTTTCAAAATACCTCTTACCCCCTCTCCCCTTACGTTGACGCTTTATGTATGTACACACTTTTTCCGCTTTTTTTTCTGAATATGTCGATTGGCTAATAAATCTCGCGTTTCTTCTCTGGAAACCGACATTCGGGTGTAAAAAGGAAAAGTCTGTTGTTTTAGAAAAACATTATTTCATCACAAGCAGAATTAAATGAATTAAGGAATGTTGTGCTTTTTAATCTATTTGCTTTTTTCCAGACAATTCACTTTTTAATCCATATAATTATATATTTTTTTGGTATGCACGTGCGTACCTTGCGAACAGTTAGCCACACCCCTGCAAAGAGACCTTAGCTTACCCTGTCTAACATTTCTCTCGAGTGTGATGCTGAGAGACAGATTCTCGCCCGGGCTTCGATTATGGAGGTGGCAGGAAACCCAACGATTACTACAGCTATGTTTCTTTTCAACAATTCCCGAGAGAAGGCGCTGAGAGAGAATATAGATGAATTGTGAGTGACAACACTTGGGATAGATGCAAAAACACATTACGCATACGCATGCAAAAGTGCAGAAAGACATTAAGTAACATTTTAATAAGACAAAACACAAGTCTTCTATAAAGTTAAAACTTCACTTACACGCATTTTGCCGGCAAGTAAAGAAGAATGGGCACCACTGCTGAAGCTTCATGGCCATACACGATAAATCCCATGTCTTTCAATCTTTGTCTAAAATACCTGTTAAACAGCGGCGTGTAAGAGCGAGGTTCATATAAAGCATTTATATTCTTTAGAAATTTTAACTAAGCTTTGATCTATCTTTGTACTCAATCAAAAGTCATATATTTATCTCTACCACTATTAGCTCCACCACTTTTGCTAATCTCAAAAAGCGTCTTCGGGACCTTCCTTCTTTCTCATACCTTTGAAACTGCTTATGAAATTGTATCCAAATTTTCCTGATATTTTAAGTTTACCTGCTATTCTCTGCCAAGGCCGTAATCCTTTGTCTACCTAGTATGTTTAAAAAACAAAACAGTTCATAGCAACAATTATTTGTGGTCAAACGACACTTGCCAAGTGTACATGCTTATGCAGACGACACGCAGTTATACTTGGCCTTTATAGCCTGACTGTGCCTCGAGCACTAACGAAGCTTTTTCTACTATGGAGGTCTGCGTTGGTGAAATCAGAGTGTGGGTGTTGTGTGATAAACTCAAGATTAATGACGATAAGACAGAAGTTATTATTATAGGTACGCGACAGCATTTGGCAAGGTTTCAAGTTGACTGTCTTACAGTCGGGGATGCTCGTGTACCCTTTGGTTCCGCGTTAAAAATTTAGGAACTTGGATTGACACTTTACTTAGCCTACAGGTTCAAGTAAATATAGTACATGTAAAGCCACGTATTACAATCCCACAAATGTCAGGCATATAACAAAATATCTAAGTACCAAAGCAACAAGAACATTGGTTCATGCATTAATAATAGGAAGTATCGATTATTGTAACAGTATTCTATATGATCTTCGTCCCTACATATAACAAAACTTCAACGCCTTCAGAACTCTGCAGCATCATTAATTTTTATTATTATTATTCATTCAAAATATTTCCCCGATTCTGATTGGCGAAAAGCACGCGTTTCATTCACCATAACCAGTTACTGATGACCAAATTTGGAAGAATTTTGACTTTAACGAGGAAATGACGTCAAAAATGCAGCGTTTTCGCAGGTTAAGGCACCGTTAACCGAGAAGACCTGGGGACGAGGTTGAGTTGTTTTGGTTGTGAACTTGAAAAAATGGCGGACATTTCACTCTTTTCAAGAGTAAGAACTAGGCGAAAAAATAGGTAAAAACATGGCAAGAACAGCAAGAAGATAACTCGAAGGGCGACATCTGCTATTTGGAGAATATTTGCGGAGCTGGACAAACCTAAACGTACACTATCGAAGATGAACTGAACATCGATGGATCGATGGAGGTAAGCATGTTTTAGCCATGTTTTTAAACTAGGAATTATTTTGAATGAATAATAAAACAGTTATTGAATTCGGCTTTCGTATCATATGAAGAATTATGGAGATCTCGGAGGGTGTTATCTGCCTCGGCCTACGGCCTCGACGGATAACACCCTCCTCGATCTCCATAATTCTTCATAAGATACTCAGCCTCATTCATTAACTGTTAAATATACCTAGATTTTCACATACCACTCTAGTTTTATATTCATTACACTGGCTTCGAGTTTAATTTAGGATAGAATTTAAAATTATGTTAATTACATTTAAGGAAAACAGCCTACATTTTGCAACGCTACCACGGTGGTTTCCCCGCAAAATCACGTCTGACAATTATTAAAACGACTGCAGAAATTTCATACTGATGACGTGTCACTACCAAGATCTGGGTAGTTCTTCTGATTGGTCGTGCAGCTAGGGAAATTTTTCTTCAACCAATCAAATGTACTCCCCAGACCTGGTTAGTGATACGTCATCATTATGGAATTTCTGCGTGCGTTCCTCAGACTTCATTTCGCGGGAAAACCACCTTAAGTGACGTCGCGAAGTGTCGGCTGTTTTCTCAGGCTACAGAAGGGATAGCACTAGGCTCGATTGTAGCTGATTGTCGATTCCAGTGCTCTTTAGCCTGCAACAGTAGCAAGCTCTCCATTTATGGCAAGCGAAGCGAGCCGCTAGGGGCAGACTTCTCCAAATGGAGAGCTTATTCGCAGACTAAGTGCCCTGTAGTCAAATCCAGAATTTAACTCGAATGAACGTCAATGTAAAAACAGTATCTAGACTGCATGGAACGATCTACGTACCTCTATTCGTCCCGTCCTCTCCCATGATAATTTTCATTGACTTTATAATTTGCATCGCCACTGGTGGGGACATGAAGGATGCGTATGTAGCACTATGGGATTTTCCACGGATATGATTTATTATCTCCTAGTACAAAACAGTTATCATTTAAAAACAAAAACAAAACTTGACGCCAGGAGGACGCTTGTTTGTTGCTACAAAATAAAAATGTTTAAGAAAGTAAAAATTGAGGCATCAGAAAATAGTAAACAGCAATAATTATAAACTGAATGAAACTATATCAACCAACTATTCTCTGCGACCGAAATAACAAAGATAAAAGAGTCCAAAAAATGGATCAAAACGCACACCTTTCAGCCAGTAACATTGTGGCAGAACTTACAGACGACCAAACCTAAAGCGACCTATTTGAGCAATCAGGTCAATATCCAGATTTTAATAGAACTATCCACTGACAAGTCACAACTCACTTAGGCTCTAATAATGACTTTCACACAGGCTTTCAAAACGTCAGCCACGTTTACCAATAGTCATATTCAGGACAACACTCGCCAAGACGATCATATTTTAGCTACTTATGACACGACTCCTGGGTTAAAACCATTCACCACAAACGGATTTAGGGGTCAACCAAGAGTGGACCGCGGCTAAACATTTTTCTGTGAAATGTTGTATTATCTTTAGAGAATTCTCGGTAAAAATAAAATTGTATCTATATATAAATAAATAAATGCCATATGTCCCCGCCGCCCCTTTCTGAACTTTCTGGATCGGCCCCCTGTTTACATGATTGTTTTTGTTACACTATAGAGAAGCCAACATTACGCAAAGGCCACTAGGGCTCTTACCTCAGATGCCGCAATGTATCCCCCTGCTGCACCAAAACTCTTAGTAAATGTACCCATCATGATGTCGACATCATTAGGGTCCACTCCAAAGTAATCAGTCACGCCTCTTCCACGAGGACCCATGGCACCAATGCTGTGGGCCTCGTCCAAGTAAAGATACGCTTTGTATTTCTTTTTAAGGGCAACAACTTCTGGGAGCATGGATAATGAACCTTCCATGCTTAAAAAGTCAAATAAAATGAAGATGTAAATTTGGGCGTCAATTTGCACCCCCAGTAAGCCAAAACTTGCAGTGTTTGCCACATGACGTGTGTAAGAGGATTGATTGTATATGATTTTCTTTTCTCATGTAAGGTAATGTGGAATTCCACAATCCAGCAAATTTTTCCTAAGAGAATCTCAGGGCTTTGAAATCCAGAATTCAGCTAAAGGAATCCGGAATCTGCTAACAATTGGAATCCAGAGACCACGTTCCACTGACAAGAAATCCGGAATCCATAGCGTGGAATCCATAATCCAAGAACTGTCTTGGCTTATCTTGCATGGTGCGATTCTATTATCATCTCATTGATATGAACGGGTTCTCATGATTAAGAATATCTTAGCAATGCAAGACTTTTTGGATCAGCGGTCGAGGTACCTGTGCAAAATCTGGTTGCCCTATGAAAAGCTTCACGCAAAAGACAACAGGGGTTAGATTCCAGTGACTAGTGTTGAAATTGTGAATGCGCCAACATTGTGCAGCACCAGACTCCTCCACAGGTGCCTCAAGAAATTGCACGAAACGAGCCAAATGACAGAGAAAGGGCGGGGAACTTCAAAGGTAGGGCAGTAACGGTAGGGACTCTCTTGGGTTAATTTCACACCTGTTTCGTCAAGGGCCTTATTTGGCCTTATTTACAGTTCCTCGTCACTTTTCGTCAACGGCCTTACAAAATTTCGTTATTTTCGCAATTTTCGTAACATTCTAGCAAAATTTTGTGAATGTAAATTCCGAAACAGAGTAAACCTGGACATATCTCTAATTACACATGGTGAAAGAGACATCCGAGGTTCGACGCAGACGAAGCAACTTTCCTTAAGACTTACCTATAAACTCCTTCTACAATAATTAAAATCTTTTTCCACGCTCTGTGCGTCCTTGGTTGTCCTTGGACAACAGCTTCCCTTAGGGTCTTCTCTAAACACTTCATATCTTCGAAAAGTATTGAAGACAAAGAAAATATAAAAAACGACGTTGCCTGAGCAATAAACGCGGGGAGTAGGGTTGTTTAATATTAAGCCTTCCAATTCAAGCTGCACCCTCCCCCTTTGAACCATTCAGGACGCAAAGCAGACTTTAGCAGTTGAGTCTTGTGCTCAACCTGTGCAATAGGTAGCCTCCCTTGCAGCCGTTTTTGTCTCGTGACCCAACGCTCTTCCCCCTCCCCTTGGGGGGATCTTTGTGCGACGAGACAAAATCGGCTGCTTGGGAAACAATGCAAAAGGCGCGAACAGGCTACAGCAGACATACGCTCCCTCTCACCGCACTTTTCAGGTGTTGAACACTTGTAAAGCGAGGGAGTACGGTTTACGGGTGTTAAACATCGGAAAACATGGTATTCAACGGTGAAAAGAAAAAACGGGAAAAATGCTACAGCTCCAAGTGCTTTAAAAGCGTGCTACGAGAACTGAGCGAAGGAAAATAGGAATATTATTCATTCACAATATTTCTCCGTTTCTGATAGGCTAAAATTCCACGCATAATCACCATAACCAGGTATTGTCGACCAATTAAATCTGGAAGAATTTTGCGATATGTGAACTGATGACCTCAATCGTACAGCAAAATTGCCAGATTATTGAACGGTTAACCGAGAAGACCTGGGGACGAGGTTGGGTTTTTTTGGTAGTGAATACCTATAAAGTGGCGGAACATTTCACTCGTTTCACGAGGAACAAATAGGTGATCATGAACTATTGGCTAAAAACATAGCAAGAACAGCAAGAAGACAACTCGACCAACGACATCTGCTATTTGGAAAATATTTGCAGAACTGAACAAGCCTTTATCTCCTAAACATGCACTTTCGAAGATGAACTTAACATTGATGGAGGTAGCATGTTTTAGCTTGTTTTTAAACTAGGAATTATTTTGAATGAATAATAAGAATGAGGCTGAATATCATCTGAAGAAAAATGTAGATCGAGGAGGGTGTTATCCTCCTCGGCCGCAGAGATGTTGTTTTGCCAATCTAAACCTCTCGCTTTTTTGCAGTTCTCGTTGCAGTCGCCGTTGCTAAAGCTTTCTGTCGACCCATCTACGGCGCTTTACTTAATACTCTTATCGAATGTTATACACCAGACATAGTTATTAAATTCATTTTACCATTATGTTTGAAGACTTTAATTTTAGCTCCTGAAAGTCTCGCTCCTAAGATGAGGGAGGTGTGGTTGAGCTCGTCACTGATGATCAAATCTCCTTTCCCCACCAGGGCGGGTATATTTNGGGAGGTGTGGTTGAGCTCGTCACTGATGATCAAATCTCCTTTCCCCACCAGGGCGGGTATATTTGCGGAGTTGGTGGCGAATCCCATTCCAAACACCATAGCTGCAGGTTTACCGACAAACCGTGCAACCTGGCCTTCCAGCTCGTTGTGAATGGCGAGAGTGCCTGATAATAAGAATTTCAATATCACACAGATTACAAAAAAAAAAAAGGAAGAAGAGAAGACAGCTAGGGGAAATTGTAATGGAACTGTATAAGTCCTTTGTCGGGGACACGTTGCTCATGTTATAATGACCAAGTTACCTGATTAGAATGACGCTAATAACAAGCACGCAAAACGTGACTCGCATGTGAACATTTTAAACAGGTACCAAGGCCTACTCTGGGACCTTAAGGCGACTTAACTTAAGGCGACTTTTTTTTATTTAAGGCGACTTTAGGCGGCTTTAGAAACATTTGCGAAAAAATTATGCGATCTAAAGGCGACGTTAATACCCCAGATCAGGCCTGATGCCACGAGTTTTGATCGTGAGAACAAGTAGACCGACTAGCCAACGAAAGGTATCGTGACTGACTAGAGGAACCTTCCCGTATACTCATCAAGTTTCCAAGGCCGTCCATCTCAGACCACAGGCTAACATTGTAACATAAATGAGATAAGAAAAGGATCTTACTTCGTGGTCATATATCTTTTACAAAGTCGAACAAAAATATCGGCACGGGGGCAAAGAAAGTTTTTACACAGCGGCACGATTGCTAGACCATCGGGAATAGATGCTAAAAGAAAAGTCCCATATTTATTTTCAATGCAAAAATATTCTCTCACCATATTCATTTCTTGGGCTACAACCCGCAACACCGTATCTGCGCACCGCCTGCTCAGCGGCTTCTGAGCATGGCCCAGAATTCTCGGCGAACCCAAGATAGTTGTATGATGCAAGATTCAACGCCCTGGTCTTCGTTCCAGGGTAACTGTGAATTTAAAGAAAAAGGAACGTCATTGAACATAAGACGAAAATCTTGGCACTTATTTGCGAAATGCCTCTGAAAGTTTTTTCCACTGCCAAGTAACAGAAACTCATGAGCATAATTTGGGAATCTAGGGACTTATACATTAATTTCTGCATAATTTGCCACTTTTAGGAGCACAATCAGCCGAGGCCTAAGTGCTGTCGTTTTGCGACACACTTGCTCCCTTGATGAGGTACACCGAACTCTCGCATTGCAGAAACCTCGTTATAACAGACACCCTAGTAATATGGACCATTACAGATTTTTGACTAAAAAAAATCCAGTAATTACGTACTCCCGCTGGCGAAGCTACGGGTTGGGGTACTCCCTATGATGGCCTATACGGTGAAAGTGTAGAAAAATCTGTCATTTTGTTATTTAAAAGACCCTTAATTAAAATATTTCGAACAGAAGCACCTTACAGTCGTATCATTTAATTTTAATATCAAGCACTACATGTAATGAAAACAAGACTTACTGTTAGTAGGTACTTGAAATGGTCACCATTTTTCTATGAAAGGAACACGAAAGGGATACCATTTTTTGCCAAAAGTGGTATATAAAAGGTTACTAAGGGGTTAGAACTCGAGGTAGAGCCTTACCATATAAAATGATGTTAAGTAGCCCCCCAGGCGTAGATACGTACAGCTTCTTTCTATTCTAAATCTTGTTCTAACGGACACCGAACAGCATCTTTCAACATTAACAAACAACTTGAAAAAGATATTCATCCGTCTTTTATCATCACATCCAGTTGTCTTTTTGGCTTGATTTACGATTCCTATATTGCGCATCAATCGAGCTGCTTACAACTATGTGCCATGCCTCTCTAATGCAAATGTTCTCTAAGGAAATTCTACTCAGGCCCTATTTTTACGGACTCTCGCGATCGCTTTCCCACTTCAGAAACTATAAGGGAATGGGTACAAGCTTAGGGCGAAACGATTTCTGGAATCTGGAATCGTTTGGGAGGACAAGCGTTAGTTTTGATTTGTGGGTTGCCTTGAATACTATCAACCAATTATAAATAACCAGGCGTTCCCAGAAATCACTGCAACCAAAGCTTGTATTCATCCTCCCTTGAGCTTCTGAGGTGGGGAATTGAGCACACCGATTCGCGATCTCAGAGCTGAGGGTGTCCGAAATAATTGACTTTATACGGTAAAAAGTAAGCGATCGCAATCAAAAGCGCCGAATTAAGGTCCATTCCAAACTAGTCCCAGTCCATTTTGCCCAACTAGGCCCAGTTTCAGCGCGAGCTTCAAGAGCCTGTTAACAAGCTCCTGGGCAACCATACCTGAAGGTCCAGTTCCAGTCCTCTGATTCCCTGTCAAGCAGGTCTATCTCTCCGCCTGGAACGCTACAGATCGGTCTGTTAAAGCAGTCTCTAACACGAGTATACATGTTCCGGGTGTAGAAACTCTCAAAATCAGAGTAGAGTGGTACAAAACCCTAACAAAACGGAGACGAAAAAAAAAAGTACGGAATTATTTAGAAAACCAACTCTCGGCCGTTTGCATAAGATAGGTTGATTATGCTGAAACCGTTACGATACCGATGCGCCTCAATAGTGAGGGCCTCCAAAAGGGGACAATGGGGATGGCTCATGTTCCCTTGCTTTCTACAATAGTTAAATTTTCCTCCTTGATTTTCAAGATACAATGTTCAACGGTTCGGCTTGTTTCTTAAAAGGAAATTATCAACATTTTATGTTCTCTTATTCCCCCAGACGTCTGGAAGGTCCTCGAAGTCATTTCAGCTTAATTACTCTTCTTTGCCTTCACTGGTCAGTAAAGATCATTAAAATGAGTTTCCGATATACCCACTTTATCGACTTAATCCGCCCAAGAATTAGAACATGGGGTCTCCGGTCCGTTTACACTCTTTCATGGCGTCTTTAAACATTACTCTAAAAACCTTTCCTTTCTTAAATTTGGAAATCATTTTCATATGCTGGTATTTTTTTGCGTGTGATCATTATTTTTATCCCGTCACCGTATGTACATATAACAAATCAAGCCTAACACAAGCACATCATGAATGCCCGCCTACCCCGTCAAATTGTTCTGTAATTTAAGGGTCGTGCAAGCCGTGCAAAGACGAATCATTCAGTGCAGCCGAGTGTAAGTCAGGCAAGCGTTGGCCAAGTAAACACGAACAACAGCAAAAGGCTAATTAACGCTTTCCAGATCTAAATATCACAACTCATGGTCAAAAACAAGGAATAAATCTACAGTTAAGAGACAAAATCAAACAGTCTTGTGGTCGCTCATTTCTGATATAACGTTACGATAGTTGTTTTTTCTGACATTTTGACTCATTGGTAATTAGCGGATTGTTATATTAAAAATTTTGGTACAGCTGCAAAATATATCCTAACAACTAAGTCAGCAGAGATCCTTTTTCGATCCTTTTAGAGACAACATTTATTAACATTCAATCTTCTGAGAAGAAAAGATTATGCAAAAAAACTTAAACTTATATCGAAATATTGCCTGAAAAAATTTGCTTTTATCAATTGATTCGTTAAGTTAATTTGGCGTCCGTTAGGTCTTTCCCGTTTGCCGTCGAACACAACATCAAAAGCATTCAAAAACAACAAAAGAAATATACTGTACTGGGTTTCCTTTCCGCTCGGTACAATTTCTGGAGATTTTCGTGCACGATTCAGTGACGAACGATTAGTCCTCGGGAGTCAATTCAACTCGTTGCTAATAGAGACAGTAAACGATGGTAAGAATTGGAAAGAGGATACAAGCAGATTTTGAAAAACTACAATCTGAGAGCCAAAGAAAATGGCAGAACCTGAGCAGATCTTAAAAGAATTTCTAGAGGGAATTTTCAACTCTTATCAATGACCGTAGTATAATTGTTCAAGGTCTTGCACCTTCTAACAAATCATTAACTCTACTTGCAGATAGTTGTTTAAAAACTTAATTGCCATGGGTGCAAGAGGGAACTATCCTTTTTTTTCCTTTTCTCTATGACGATCTTGCTATTAAGTAAAAAGAAAACTGAAAGCTCTTAGACTGATATCTTGCCGCAGCTGCAAATTGTAAAACGATTCTCACAGCTGAGTCAACAGTGTTTCAGTTTAAAGGAGCAACAATTGTTAAAATTATTACTGATTCACATGTTGAAGGATGAGAATTTACACAACAATATAGAAGTGTTTCTGTTATAGTTAGGTCCCCAAAAAATATTTGCATATCATCGAATACCACATACATCAGTCGCTTTTCCTGAACAAGCCAAAATCAGGTACGGCATTTTTATAGCTGTTTTAAAATACTGATTATGTCACAAATATTACTAGGACTTTGAAACAACGTTACTAATTGATATTTTCTGGATGCCGAACCTAAACGTGTAACTCGAAAAAATACAGAAGCGGACGGGTTCAAATCAAATACACAGCTCTAAATAAGGTGAACATGACAGTCGCTTCTCATTGGAATCCGGGGGGGACAACCATATGGAAGGGACGGAAGCTCGTCGCTATATTACTTTGGTGTGGGAGATGAATTGCAGGTTTTGTTTTCTCTTAGATTGTTTAGAATAGAAAGTTACCCAACAAGTTTTGCTTAGGGTTGTGCTGAGAGAACCCACAACGTCGTGCAACCTCGTTCCCAGGGTTCTCTTCTCCTACCCGAGAGAGAACCTGGGAACGAGGTTGACCGTTGTGAACTTCTTTGGAAGAATTAAAATTACTACAGCTCCAAGTATTTGGTTGTATGTGTTGGTCGGAAGTCTCCTACACAACTCAAATAACGCTAGAGCCCTCACCAGACGTAAAATGTTTAATTCTTATTTTGCGACGAGTTTTCTCGTCCCCTTTAAACAAGAGTCGCTCCCAACCGGGTGTAGGTGACTTTACACGCGCCGGCATAAATTTTAGCGATCACGCCACTTTTCAGACGCGCTGTTGCGCACGCGTAAAGTTTCAAAAGTTCAAAGTTTAGAAAAACAATTTAAATAGTATTGTGAAACAATAACAAATGAAAAGTAGATTTTAGGTACTTCTCTACAAACCACTATTCAAATAATTCAAACCTTCAATTTCCTAGTTTACCCAAGCAAAAATATGTTAAACTGATTCTTCGGCTGATACAATGGAGGTTCTCCTAGCTTGCTGCCGGGTTATAAAATTTCTTGAAGACTCTCTAATCGTCACCTGTTCAAATTATACATGCGTAGCTTAGAGCAATATTCTTTTTTCCAGAGGCCATTATTGCTTTTCACATAAATATTTCTCCATCGTTCTGCATAAGGCGTTTTACTAATATTTTTGTGCTGTAACGTGTTATGTAACATAATACCGGTTTGCCAGAGTTTCACTTCCATTGCTCAGCGAACAAGCACTCAAAAATCACCTCTTTCCCCAAATATAACTACCAACCTTAATTAAAATTATTTCTCACCTCATTGCCGTTTTCTTTAACTGCCTTGTATTTTTCTAATCCATGGTTACGCGTAAAGTCACGGAAATAACCGAAAATTATTAAAAAGAAATAGGAGAGATAGGTCATCACCGCGGCATGGAAAGGAGTTTCTTCGAACTCATCCCGAGATTCGGCGACATAATTTCCATTTTTTTTGCCGTAGCTAAATAATCCGTTCGATCCAGGAGCACAACCATTTTTTGAGGAAAGATGTTTTCTCGCGTGGCCAGCTCCAGTGACCATGTTTGTTGCTGTTGCTCGCGCCAGAGTCACGCTACGACAAGACGCTTGGTTTGTCAATCAGTTCAGTCAAGCGCATGAAATGAAATCAATATTAGTGTTTCAAAACATGAATACGGTAAAATTCTTCCGACTTATTTCTATAGGCTACTTTTATGGCTGTATGTTTACTTTACGGAACATTTTAATTTCATTTTTTAAAACGAATTGCATTATAAAAAGTTCTAAAGGCAAATAAATCTAAATTGCATATATATCATTGTATTAAGATGGAGGTAAAATAAGGTCTACAAAATAATTTCCACTAATTTCGAAATGATTTGATGGCCTGCATTCTCATCCGCCATTGGGTTCTTGATATAACATTGAAAAAAAGGGCAAAATGAGAGAAGACCCTTCTGGCTCCTTATTCTGTGCTTAACCCGGGAGCTTAAAAGAGCGATGCACGTGAACCGGAAGTGAAGCCTATTTCGTTATGATAGGCGTTGACGCTACTAGATTTGTATTGCTTATAGAGACGAAATAGGGAACCCATGCTCTTATTTGTAAACTGCAAATGGAAATTAAACAATTAATGGTAACAGGACTGAGTGGAGTTCAATTCGGTCTGTAATCATACGATTGATTGACAAAATCGGACGACCGCGTAGCGGTGAGTCTAGCCTGTTCCAGGCTCCGAGATGGTGGTGAAAGGTCGTTCAGTAATAAGAAATGCGAAAAACGCGCGGGGGCTGGGGAGAGACAGGGCGGCGGAGCCTGTACGCATTTTTTTAACGGCCTGTTCCGGTATATCAGCTCCTGATATACCCTCTGATTGGTCAATTGTGACAGTTAACATCATCACCTAGTAACGTGGTCATCAGTTTGTCATCACCAAGATGGCTAACGCGAATTGCGCGTGTGATCTTCACGAATCGGCGTTGTCTTGTGTTTTAGACGAGTGTCTGCGACTTGGCTCGCGGTAAAGATGTTTTCGGTATTATGCCCACCGGTTTCGGCAAAAGTTTAACTTTCAGCTATTCCCACGCTTGGCTAAAGCTGCTCTAATCCTTGAAAACTCTACGATAAGAGTCGTTTCGCCGCTAATACATATAATGCGAGACCAACTGGAACAACTGAAAAAGCTTGGATTTCCGGCCGCAGCTATTTGGCATCGGTGAAGAGGGAGAGGAGGACGAGAAGAAAGCGAGAGAAGGAAAGTGCGAAATTGTTTTCGGTAATCTGGAGTCCTGGTTGATTACAGAGTGGCAATAACAAAACAGTCCAAAGACCGTTTAAGCTTATTCCGCTATTACCAAGGGAGAAACTACGCGCTCCAGTCAAAAGACCTACACTATTTTCAGAGAAACACTATCAAGCTGGCGTTTACTAAGTCACAATGCAATTCTCCTTAGTTGATGTAGCTTAAGTTTAAGCTGCACTTCATTCTTATAATTCTGGATCTGTAAATCACTATCCGTGATAATTTAACATTCTGCAAAGAAAACTAACGAGCTGGGCCCAGCGTGATACAACATTGCAGAAAAATATTACATTAATTCACGGACTAAAGAAAATCACTTAGTTAGTCAGATCCAGAAGGCACTTTGGAGAAAATTAAAACCCTTATTGAGCCGGAATAAAAAGCTTTACGCTTCAAATTAGAGGTCAAAGAAAATGCTCTCTCATCAGAGGGCAAATCCTGCCGACCAGAAACAAACGCCACAGTAAATCGATATGTGTGCCATGACCTCTCAGTGTGAAACAAGCGGCTAAAGTCACATTTGTTCAGTGACAATGTAGAACCTTCCAGAGCATAACCTACCTAACAGAGGAAAAAACTTACTGCCCCCTTTTATTGCTATAAAACTAGAGCCAAAAAAAACGGATGCTCTCACATGATAACGAATTCGAAGACATAAATTTCCACACATCGCACAAGGAGTTCGCGTCGCGTGTAATTCTCATGCGAGAAACTTGAGAATGATTGTAGCTAAGTGAAGTGTTAACAGTTTTGACAGCCGAATCCAGACGTGACAAAAATGGGCGGAAGAGGGTCGTTAAAGAAATGCTAACAGGCTCTCTCTCCCATTTTTCCCGCTAACATGGCCCCCTTTCCCAAGTCGTGCCCGTCTTATTTTCGCTTTGCTCGTTTTAATACGTTCCCACTATACTATCTGAGAGCCTGGCACAGGCTACGGTGAGTCCGATTTGTTTAATCACAGGGCGCCCACACAATCTGTTTGTGTAGCCGAGGAAATGTACTGGATTTACCGTTTGCTTCACCTATAGCGATATATCGCTAACTGTGTATATAAATCAATGAAAAATGAACGTTGAATTACCTTACCTGTGGTATATAATCGTCCTTTTACCTACGATATTAATAGGTACTCAAATGGTATACTCGTGAAATTAGGGAATAATTTCACTTGCGTTTTGTCCAAATCCTAATAATTTCCCTCGCCTAAAGGCTCGGGAAATTATAAGGATTTGGACAGAACGCGCGTGAAATTATTCGCTAATTTCACTCGTCACCATTTGATTACACATACTTTAATATTTTTTCTCTAATATCACGTAGCCTTTCCCTCAAAAGCCACATGAACCAACATGCCTAAAAGTTAACTGATTTGGGGATTACAAGTTAATTGTTTGATTTATCAAAAAAAATTACAAATTTATTAATAGGAGCTTCGCTTTTAGCCCTGGCTAAATCTATATATTATTTAATTTCCATTTGCAGTTTACAGATAAGAGCGTGGGTTCCTTATGGAGACGATCTGTCCGCTGGCAAGACCCTTGCTGATTGCTTTGCAAGTTGTGAGAACATCGTTTGGATTTCATGTAAGAGAATGTATGAGAAGTAGCCCGCCCCCGCAGGCAAACATGCAAAAAGACCACTTCCGGTTGACGTGCGAACGCAGCCGTATTTCCGGTTGTCTCCCGAAAAGGGAACTAAAAGCCGAAAACGGCGTCGACTGCAAACATAAGCAGTAGCCCAAGGGTGGAAGGTTTTCCTTTTTCCTGTTTGCGATTATGCTTGCGCCCGTATGAGTGTAACGTAGTATATAAGGAGTGCTAGGCGATCTAGCTCCAGTGGATCACAAGTTCCTGCCATATTTTGGAACAAAACAAAGCTCTCCGCAAAGCTCCTCGTCGTACGCGAGAAAAACCTCTGGTACCCAGGGTAGGAGAGAATGTTCGATCCTTATTTCCGTTGGACCTCTATATTTGGACATCGATAAAGAATTGTACACTTCCGGTTTTGAATGAAGGAGTGAATTTGTCGGCCGATTTCGCCTCCATTACGCAGTACAACATGAATCGGAAAAACCATTAGGTTTCTGTATTTTGGCTGTTTCGGCCAAGCACCGCAGAAATAACAATACGTGAAACTACAACTTCTATTACATTCAAATATAATGGTAGGTAAACTAGAACAGAGCTGAGCGACAGTTCACGAGGAATACTGTCAGAACGGAGGCCAGAAAAACCTGCCTGAAAAAAAAGACCGTAGTATAGAAAGGAACTGTGCAGGAAATCTAGGTAGGATCCATGACTCATGCTCTAAAAAGCCTACCCTGCGAAGACTACACGACGAAGGTTACTGCCTGCTATATATTTCATGATTACTAAGCATGTATTCCAACAAAGCACGGTAGATTCGAAATGATTATTCAAAAACAAAAGAAAAATAACTAAAACGTGCTAAAACCCTCGCGCAACTCAACTCTGTGACTCAATAAATCAACTAATAAATAAAAAATAACGTGGGCTAGACGAGGTGTCGGCCTAGAATGCTTAAATATCAGACTTTTCCTGTTACGTCAGAGATGTTTTTAAACACATTGACCAAGTCACGGCAGACAACACAGGCATACCAATCTTATGTTTGGCCACTCAATGGTATGTACTGTTATAAAAACTTTACTGGAACACTGCCCCCTTTTTTTAATTTTGTTTTTGTTTTTGTTTTTGTTTGTTGTTTGTTTTACATTTTTTAAAGGTATAGATGGTAGGTTCTCGGGTCCCCTAACCGCGCTTATCACTGAAACACTAGTATATATTCGTATTCTCGATTTTCACTCACATGAGAAAGCAGAAATAAAAATGGAAACCTTTTAATACAAAAAGTCTAGAATCTGGGAAATGAAAGAAGATAAATATACAATAAGCCTTACCAAGAATCAGGTCTATGCAATAGGTCATATGCGAGATATTCGGAAAAACGTTTTACCCAAATTTATAAAGCTTTGTATGGAGACGCCATGTTTGTGTCCCTTTCAGGGGCACAAATATGGCCGCCGGAAACCAACAGAAACATCTGTTTTTAAGTTTTCCTACTCATGCGTGAATTCTTCTCTTGAGGAACTCATAAAGATTAAAGCAATATTTATTCTAAGACAAGGAATGTTTAGATAGCAAAATCTCCAAAAATCCGTAATATTTTTAACCCACATAAGAGCTTTCCCGGCCGTCAGCTAAATGCCGCGTCACGCAAAAGCCTAGAAATTCAAGCGTCCTGTATCGCTAAACAAAGAACCCCTTTGAACCGAAAATTTGTTTGTATAAAGGTTTTAAGGTGCTCTAGTATCACATGAAAGTAGAAATTCAGAAGAGGCGATAGTTTCTTAGTTTGAATTTTGGTGACGTCATGTGAAAACCAAGAATATCATGCTTTGCGGTTGTTTCGTAATGTCGCGTTCTTGCCAGTTTGTTTGGATAACATAAATAGCCTGTGAATTTCAGGTTTTCTCATTATTAACTCTTTTCAAGTCTGGCTTCAATGCAGTCANGGAAAAACGTTTTACCCAAATTTATAAAGCTTTGTATGGAGACGCCATGTTTGTGTCCCTTTCAGGGGCACAAATATGGCCGCCGGAAACCAACAGAAACATCTGTTTTTAAGTTTTCCTACTCATGCGTGAATTCTTCTCTTGAGGAACTCATAAAGATTAAAGCAATATTTATTCTAAGACAAGGAATGTTTAGATAGCAAAATCTCCAAAAATCCGTAATATTTTTAACCCACATAAGAGCTTTCCCGGCCGTCAGCTAAATGCCGCGTCACGCAAAAGCCTAGAAATTCAAGCGTCCTGTATCGCTAAACAAAGAACCCCTTTGAACCGAAAATTTGTTTGTATAAAGGTTTTAAGGTGCTCTAGTATCACATGAAAGTAGAAATTCAGAAGAGGCGATAGTTTCTTAGTTTGAATTTTGGTGACGTCATGTGAAAACCAAGAATATCATGCTTTGCGGTTGTTTCGTAATGTCGCGTTCTTGCCAGTTTGTTTGGATAACATAAATAGCCTGTGAATTTCAGGTTTTCTCATTATTAACTCTTTTCAAGTCTGGCTTCAATGCAGTCAAATCACATATTACGAAAACACAAATACAGTCGAACCTCCATATGCGATCACCTCTCGTAAAAGACCACCATCATCCGTAAGCGACCGCGTTAGCGTGAGGCTCAGTGGCGGTTTAAAGACTTTCCATTGTTTTCAACCTCTTAAAAAGCGACCACTTAACGATTTGTCTGATCTCTTTTGTTCGCTGTGTTTAATTAATGCTACTCAGAGTATACGAAGAACTTCTAAAAGTACCAACATGAGAAATAAATCTGTGCCGTCGTAAGCGACATCTCCTGTAAGTGGCCTTTAAGTCTCAGCCTTTAGAGTGGCTGCTTACGGAGGGTTTACGGACTGTACCTTGAAAAGTTCATGTTATGATATTATTAATATTATGCATTATTCTTTGTAGGGTGGTACAATAGCTGTTCTTAGTGTTATGGAGAGACCTTATTTCTTTGCGGGTACAATTTTTAGTGCATCAAGCATAAAAGTGGAAGCCAATCCTTGCACGGTAATTTATTGTTCCACTCGTTACAAATAGTAAACGAAAACACAATGCAAAAACTATTTCTCTTTTCTTAGGGTTCCGTCAATGCAAAAACAGGATATGCACCAAAATACAACAAACCCAAAACTGAAAAACACTACGTACCTGAGAAAACAGAAACATAAATCCCAAAACAGAAATAAACACCCCAAAGCGGAAATACATACAAAACCAAAATACAAAATTGAACCACAAAACTGAAAGAGAATTTAAAAATACAAACCTGATGATCAAAAACCCCAAAACAGAAACAATAGTTTCTCATGATTCATCGTTTTTTTAATTATCTTAACCCGAGATCAGGCGTTTTTTTTTTTTGTTTTTGTTTTTTTTTAAGGGAGGGCATGATCACAGGCTATAATAGATCATTCCGAGTTCCAAAAACCCTCACTTTAAAAATGAGGCTGAAAGTAAGGTAAAACGGGCAACAAATTACTGCAGAAGTGCAAAATGATGTTGCGCGTGTTATTATCCACAAATCAAACCTGTCTTGTAGCAAATAAGATTCAGTGTTGCAAGTTGCGAGAATACTGACTCCTGATTGGATAAAATTACCCGGGAGTCACGCCATACACAGGAGTTACGTCACTTGCTTCAAAACAAGTTTGCCTTGGGCCGGTAAGTAAAACGCGCAACATTGACAGATTTTGATGCAAAAAGTAGAACTTCTCTCTTGCTTTTTTGCATTAGTGGGTAGTAAAATGCGCAACATCACTTTTCAACTAGTTTTCCAGCAATTTTGTAAAACAGGTTTCACGATTTTGTTGTCCGTTTTACCATAGTTTTAGAGTGATTTTCGTATGACCATGAAAAGAAAACGCGCGAACAAAAAAGAAACATCAAACGAACGGAAATAGAGCGATTTGACTGGTTTATCGAACGGATACAAACGTGCGTGGCTTTTGGATGGTTAAGAGAACGCGCGAGAACTTTCTAGAAATCAAACGATACTTCGCTTTGAAGTCATATAACAACACGATTGGCCAATCGAACAATGTTTTCTCCATATTAGGGTTTTCTTTGGCGGGAAAGCGAAGAGGCCATGTCTTGATCTTTTCCTCCATTGGCTGATAAAACAAATAACGAACACTTACCGAAACCATTTTTCAACGTCATAAGAAAATCTAATGCAGAGTGAGATAAAACAGATTTTAAATGTGAAATATTTGCAGGGGCAGCAATTTTTTATATTCTGTTGCGTCTCAATTCACATGTTATTTAAACATAAATAGCTGATTAATCACGAGTAGAAACGAACTTTTTACAAAGTCTTAGTGGCGGAAGGAAGGGAATATGATGATTATTTTAATAGGAGATTATTTTATCACTAGTCAAGTTTTTAACCTTGTCTTCTAGGGGGAGGTGCGAAATTAATTTATAAAATAACTAAGATAGTACGCGCGCTCTGATTGGCCGAGAGGAGTGTTTGCATGAGAGTATGTAAACATGGTTGTGGCGTCAAGTTGTTTGGCTTTTCGCGCGCTAATCACGCAAGCACGAATTTGAAAAAGTTTTCGAGTTCAAAACTCGACAAGTTTACTTTATTTACTCATTCCTTCGTCAGCTGAAACATGGAAAATCGTTACAAAGAAGGTGAGTCAATTTTTCTTCCCTTAAGCTGACATTTTAAGCGAGAAAAATCCGTATTTTGCAAAGCATCTTTTTGCAAAACAAGAACTGATTACGCGTGCAAGACTTCGTGGACAAGATTTTGCGACTGGTAAGAATTTTTCTTTTAATCAGTGCCATACAAAGAGTTTTGCGTTTTTTTTATAGGGAAAGTTATTTTATAAAAGCAATAGAAAACGTTTTCCGTGTTTGCATAGCCTGATATAAACACGAGAGGGGTTGGGAGAATTCGAGACAGTTAAGCAAACCCGAGACGAAGTCAAGTTTTTAACCTTGTCTTCTAGGGGGAGGTGCGAAATTAAACAGTAGTGATTGTTCCATATATAAAAACGCACCAAAAAAACAAGACGAACTTGGCCAATATTCAGCTATCTGGACCTCACGCTTGGTTAAAAGAGACCTTTAGATTCGAGGACGAGAACTACTAGGAGTACGACTTTCGCTTTTCTCAAAAACAAATATAGACACCCGGAAAGCTCCATTGTACTTTTGATTCACCAGAAAAGTTAGCACTGTTACTTATTGAAGGAGTTTAATTCCTCTCCCAAAATAAAAAAAAATAATAAAACTTAGCTTCTAACATTTGATAACTTGTTTTCGTCACAACGACATTCTCGGCAAAACTCGTAGTAGAATGATGACGGCTATCACGTTTTCCCGCCAAAATGACGCTGGCTCATGCGCGCGCACGGCTTAGCATTAAGAAAATCTCGTACTCTTAGTCGTCCTCGTCTTAAAAACTAAAGGTCTCAAATAACGTATATAATGCATGTATTTTACAGGCTTGTGTAGGAGGAATAGTATCATGGATAATGCCCTCGTGTCAGATCAGGCCACCGATTGATCCATCAGTCTTAAGCCAGGATCCTACACAGGTTATACATCTCATCACTTTAGAAACGAGTCAGAAACTGGGTCGAGTAAACTTTCGCAAAGATTTCTGGGATTGCTGTTAAAAACAGCAGAGGAAAGATTGGCCAATAGCTTTCGCAAAGACTTCCGGGATTGTTACTAGGGACAGAGAAGAAGATTGGCCAATAGCTGACCGGCGCGACCCCAGTAACAATCCAAGAAACAATCGCGGGTCAAATTTGTTCTCCAATAAAATTCCCTTCTCGTTTCTAAAAAGGCGAATAACACAACTGAAGACTGCTCTCTTTTCCTGAGTCAAAGGAGAGAGACTTTCGTGTGCATTTTATCCGCGTTTCCGAAGAAAAATTTCCACGACTTTCGAACAATGCCGAACATATTCCGGTCATTTCTGGAGGTTGCTGAATGAGGCTGTGTCCAGTCCCTCAAACCGTTCGCGAAACTCGACATTTCGTACTGGAACATTATGGGTGGAGACTGAATAAAAGTTTCTCAGTTTAATGGTTAATGACAGGTCATTCGGAATTGTGAGACAGGAATTGTTTTTTTTCCATCCTTCATGACTGTGCAATGAACTAGTGATATTGGTGGCCGGCGGGTTTGTCGAGGGTTATTCTGTCCTGTTGAATTAATCAGCCCTAAAATTATACCCCCGGTGGAGGAGAGCGGGGGAGCTACTCAACAACGTTTTATATGGTAAGGCACCACCCCATGACCTAACTCCTCACACATTTATCGTTAAAGGGGCTCGTCGTATTTGTTTGGGGTTGGAGCCTCCCCATAAAAATTTCAATGTCACTCAATTCTTTGCACAATCCATTTAGTAACCAAAAGCCTTACAGCAAGTCGAATTTCCTTGAGTACCAGGCGTCCCTCGCGCCTTCTACTCTCTCGCGCTTGACTTGTGGCAAGTCTAGGACTTCAATAACACAATGCACCTTGTTTATTACTATTGTTTTAGGTTGAAAAGTATGCCAATAATAGCCTAAACTGGCATGAGGGAATGAAAGTGAGATGGGTGGGAGCTATATTAGACGCAATGAATGAAATCCAGGGGAACTTGTCAAGGCTTACAACACCTTATCTACTTGTCCATGGTGATGGAGATCAATTACTGAAGATTGACGGTTCACATTACTTACATGAGAATTCTCCCAGTAACGACAAGACATTTAAGGTACACGAATGAGCTGCTTTGCTGACAGCACTGAGCGAACTAATAGCCTCTCTGTTGGTACTTTTGACGAGTAGTTAGGGCGCGTGACGGTTTATCATGAGGGCAGAAAGAGGCGGTCTTAAAACGACGTTTGTTCATGTGGCGATATTGCCCTGCCCGGGGTGAACGTATCCCAACAACACTCGTGATTTGTCTTATTACCCTTTTAGCCCCAGGAGTGACAAATATAAATTTTCTCCAATCAATATCAACACATTTTCAAAAGGAAAAGGTTATGAGAATTTATAAAATAATCACCAAAGAGGAAGTGCTTTCATCTTTCAATTCTCGTTTCCAAAACGTGAGTCTAAAGAATATGTTGTTTTCCCTCTTCGGCCAATTTTCCTTCCAGTTGTCATTTTTAAATCTACCTATTATTTCATTATTAACTCAACTGCTTGTAAAACTTGCCTTGTAGGTGGACAAAAATGGACGCCATGAACTTTTGAATGAGGTGGAAGAAACTGCGAGCGTGGTTTACAAGGACATTCTAGACTGGATCCAGCAAAAGCTACCTTGAACTATTTTAGACCTCGTTTACACGAATCAAGACTAATTTTTGAAACTGCATATCCTTTTACCTGGATTCGTGCTGACGAGGCCTTAAACCACTCCGGAGACCGGTTTCAAAAAGATAGTAGGCTGATTTAGCGCGCAATAAAATGGGAACGTCAGATGACGACGACGCCGCGAGCAAATCAAACAACTGGCTTGACCAATAGCAGAGAAGCAAGTTGAGCACCGGAAGTCGTGTTTAGTCCTTTCCGCGCTTTCCCGTCGTCAACTGACGCTCCCGTTCTGTTGCAAATGCTAATGTTTCAGTAAGAGGATTCACTGGTTTCGTGTGTGGGGGGAATACCAGACGGAAGGCCGATTCATGTGAAAATATAGATATAAGTGCGCCATAAAAATATCCGGATTTTTGTGGACGGGGCTTTTCACGTTGGTGTCATTCTACAAGTACGACCAGAGTCATTTCGTTTTTTTCTTTGTTTTTTTTTTTTCATTTCTTTCATATTTAATTCAGTAAATTCAGAAGCCTTAATTTGCATTAGAAAGCCAAATTCTTGGAAGGATTCCATAAAAGGCCCCAGATTTCTTCAGGGTTTTACTTTCTTGCGCAAGTTAGGGCTTTTGTTTTTTAAACCTCAGAGGGATTAACAAATTTAAATATGAAAGAAAAAATGAAAGGAATTCCTTTACTAGCAAAAACAAGTCATCGCCTAAATAGGCAATTAGGCCCTGTGGCCCCAGTAGCCTTGCAGCAGTTCAGAAGAGACCTCTACCGTAAATGATCTAATAAACGCCCGGGGCGTTTATTTAATTTTAGGGGTCCAAGAGGAGGCGTTTAATCGATGGGAGGCGTTTAAAGGAGAGAGGCGCTTATTCTCGTAACTTATTTTAACGAACTCAACATAATTGTATACAGTATGCTTTCGGCTAAAAACGTTTTTGTGTTAACAGAATCTCGACTGCGGGCCTGACGGCTTATCTAGAAATTGAACATGACATAATACGCAAACTGATGTTAATCAAGCAATGAAATTAATAAATTGATCGATTTTGCTCTATTTCGCCATTTCCTGGTATTTGGCGGCAATTTTCAAGGGGGCGTTTGTTAGATAGGGGGCGTTTATTAGAGAGGGGCGTTTAATACTAACTTAACAGCGTAAGTGCGGCGTTTATTAGATAAGAGACGTTTAGTTGAGAGTGGGCGTTTATTAGATCGTTTACGGTATGGGTCGCAGTTCCTTTGTTTTCGGGCTAGGTTCCAAACTTTGTTTGTTCATTGTTTTCCCAACCCATAACGGGATGTATTCCAAGAACTGCAAGGTCGACCCTTACATGAAGAAAAGTCGCCCCGGGTAGAAGAGTCACTTGCCTACCCTAGCTACCCCGGGCGAGTCAACATTTCCTTACCGAAACTTGGCGTTTAATTACACTTGAAACAAATATTGGGCTCGGTTAGATCCCTTTTCCGATGGTAAGATCACCCTCCCAGCTAAGCCAACTTTTCGCCAAGTAAACACTTGCCTTGCCCAGCCGGATCACTAGCTCGGCCAAGACGAGAGAATCAGAGCATGCGCGAGCGCTGTTTTCAGCTCGGGCAAAAGGGTCAACTGTTTCTCATATAATTAACACTTGCTTAAGTTGACTCGGGCTGGGAGGGTGACACCGAGAAAAATTTTCTCGATATAAACGAGGCCTCATTGGCATATTTTCTTGACATAGGTTCAATGAGCAAAACAATAACTCTGCCGTGCATCACACGTTTTTGTAAATTTATTCGCCATCACTACGTTATATAGAGGACATAAGAACCCGAAGACAAATTTCTTTTTCTCTATTTACACTTTGATGTCAGTGCTCCCAAAAAATTCATTTCCACGGAAAAATCGCCTACATTTGACCAACTTAGCCAATTAAAATAACCCCCACAAATTTTAAAGTACGCCAAATATTTTTATGAATGACGTTTCGCTACCGTCGGGCGTATTAAATCTCGAGCAACTGACTTTCAGTCAGAGTCAATCTCTGTATTTTAACGCCATAGGTTAGTAGTATGTCTCACGTTAGGTTGTCTACTTTGGACTAGATAAAGTACCAGGACGATCAAGAAACGGACCGCATGTGTTTTTTTTTTTTTTTAAATTTTATTTTATTTTATTAACAACAAATTAGTATAGGTAACAGCATGATTTGTAGTGATATTTCGAAATTGTTGCACGTAATTT